CAAGGCCAAGCTTTGGCAAGGCAGTACCTACGTGGAGGTCCAGAGAGACCACTGACCAAGCTGTGCAAATGAAGCCTAGATTATGTTGGGGACTGGTGGGGACAAGATGATGAAGGTGACAGAGTTGTGGAACACCTGTCGAGAAAAGCTTCTAACAGGGAGCGGAGTTGCAGTCAACAAAGCTGAAAGGAGCTGGATGCCTGAAGAGGCCTTGACATCAGACATGGAGATGCAGAGTTTGGAATTGGCCATATAGGTTTTAGTCTTGTTTTGGTTCAGTATTTCTTTAATACACTCCCTTTCCTTCCTTCACGAGTGGCAATGCACACATGGCCTCTCTGTGTTAGGAGTACGCCATCTGCTTTTTCACTTTGATTTTCTGGGGCGTTACAATTGAGAGACCGACTTAAAAAAAGGGAACAAAAAGGAAAGGGCCTGACTGTGCCCAGGTGCGGCAGAGGAGGAAAGTGTGTTACAGACCAAAGGGAGAGCGGAGACAGATGCAGAGACTTCTGGGAGTGTCCAGAAGGGACGTGGCCAGACTAAGCGGGGCCATGAGGGGATTGGGGAAGAGAGAGGTGAGAGAGGGAGCCAAGAGGTCAAAGGCACAAAAGGGGCAGATAACCAAAATGTCTAGATTATAAAAGGAAAACCTTGGGGCGGAGGAAGGGAGAAGGCAGCCACGCCCTTGGGCTGGAGAGTTCAGAGGGCAAGGTATGCCAGCCAGACCCTGCAACAGGTGGGCACTGAGGAATGCTGGGAGAGCCTGGATGTGTTAAGTGGGCGCTTGGTCCCAGGTTTCCATCTTAACAAGTTTCTGAGGAATATTTGACTTAGACAGCATTGACAATGAAAAGCTATGAGGACTTCTGAAGTTGGACTAAATGCATTTTGCATATGATATGGCTACAAGCCTATGAGGGCCAGGGGGTGGAATGTGGTGTTTTGAATGAGAATGGCCCCTATAGCTGATATATTTGATGGAGGAAGGTCATTGGCTAATAAAGGCACTGCCCTGGCCCATTTTATTGGTTAGGACATAGGTAGGTGGAGTAAACAGATCAGAACGCTGGGAGGAAGAGGAAGTGAGGTCAGAGACTCCACAGCTCTCTCTGGAGCAGACGCCTCAGAGAGAGAAGCCATGCCCCGCTCCCGGGATGAAGCTCCGACCCAGGATGGACTAGGCTAGAATCTCCCTGGTAAGCGCACCTTGGGGTGCTACACACAGATGATTATAAATGGGCTAAATTAATATGTGAGAATTAACCTAGAAGAGAATGGGCCAGGCAGTGTTTAAATGAATACAGTTTGTGTGTTGTTATTTCGGGGCATAAGCTAGCTGAGCAGGCAGCCGGGATGCTGGGGACGCAGCCCCGCTGCCCCTATTACTACATATATTTACATGTTTAATATACAGTTGGCTAATTGGTTGGAAGGATTAGGAGGTGTGTCCTTGTTAGAGGAGGTATGTTTCTGTGAGTGGGCTTTGAGGTTTCAAACACCGAGGCCAGGTCCAGTGTCTCTCTCTGTGCCTGCTATGTGGAGGTCTCAGTTTCTTCTGCAGCACCATGCCTGCCTGTGCGCTGTGATGCTCCCTGACATCATGATAAAGGACTGTCTGTATCTGTAAGCAAGTCCCCAGTTAAATGCTGTGTTTTATATAAGTTGCCTTAGTCACGGTGTCCCTTCAGAGCAACACAACAGGGACTTAGACTCCAAGTACCATTAATTTCAAGAATCCACTTAATACTGAGTAAGAAAATAAGTACTGATTGTTTAGTTACTAATTACTTGCTGACTTCCCAGAAGACCCGTAGAGAATCAGGAGAAGTGTGGAGAACCAGGCTTCTAATTGATTTTAGCAAAGGCCAGTCAGCCAGCAACCATCAGTCTGTGGGCATCTCACACCCCATGTGAGTCTATTTTCAGCTTCCCCGCTGGAACCTCTGAGGCTACAGGATCATCTACTGTGTGCCAAGAGAACTTAAAGGTTACTAGCCTCTTATCTCTGTGTTGGTATCGCAAAGGCATTCGTTTAGCATAGACATTTTGTTTGTTTGGTTTTTTATTTTGCATAGTGCTTTCTTTGTATCACAGTTATATTTTTCAAAGACCCTGCTTTCTCTTTGTCCCTTCCTATAACAGTCCTAGGTTGTTTAGGTGTCACCACTCAACACTTTTCAGTGTTGAAATACATACAGGTATTCTGGTGGCTCCGTCAAGTCACAATGCAAAATCCAAGGGTCTGTCCTGACCCTGGCCATGTAATAACAAATAGCACTCCTGAAGTAAGCCCAACTGGGTAGCCTCCATCCAGAAAGAGAGTAAGAGCAGGCCAGAGGAGAACCAAGGCAAAGAACCTGGCCCAGTACACGGGAGTTAGAGCCATTGTAGATGGCAATGTTGCAATATCTTGTCAGTCAGTCATGTAACTGGAACTTATACCTCTGAGATTATTTCAGAGCCATCACTCTGTGGAGGTCTTATTCCAATTCCAGAAATATCTTGGCATTCAATCTTGATGACAAATTCTTTTGACTATATTTAGTAGTGGCAAATAACTATTTTTTTTTGAGAATCAGCATTATTTTCAAATATAGTCAGGTCATTCAGAACCCTGAAGGATAAGATGGAGAAATCAATACCATTCTGGTAGAAAACTAAAATGTTGGATATAGTAAAAGAAGTTCGAATTTCCCGTGCTGATATGACAATCAGCTTGAAAAGGGGATTTTACGCGACAATGACATCACTGTGTTAGGAGAAAATCTAACACATCTCTCAAGGTCGTTTACGTGGAGGTACAAATTCCAGAACCTTACTATCCAGTTCTTATTGGTGGCAGCAGTCAGGTCTTTCCGGGTTCTTGGCTTCTTATCCAAAGAGCTGGAAATAAGGACTCACACAGACTTGAAAATTAGCAAGATAATTTCATTCAAAGTGAAGCAATAGTACAGATTAGAAAAAGATATTCTCAAGATGAACAGTAGGCTGCCTGAGAACACTGAATAGCCGGAACTATTGTTTGGGGGCTGTTTGTGCAGCCAATAACAGTTGTTTGGTTGTTAGAAGTTGTAATGAATCCTATTTTGATTGGTAGGTTAGGTCCTGTATTCATTTTTTCAGCTCTGCATATTCCTTCCCACAAAGCATCTGATTTTAATTAGATGCACACCCAACTGTGCATAGTTAGAAGATGAGAAATAGGGAATCCTCTCTTAAACTTATATTGGAGGGCAATTTTGCCTTCCTGTGCACACACCCAAAACAAATTCAGGCCACACTGAGCTCCTGGATCGGGGTATGCTGGAAATTTATCTAGATAAAAACTGTCTAAGTGTGACTGTTGTTAGAGGAGGAAGGCAGGGAACTAAGGGGACCTTACCTTGCTCTTGGTTGGGGAAAGTTACCTGTGACACCTGTTCTGCCCTTCCCCTCCCTCTCATCTGTCCATAAACCTTCCCTGGGGGTGGGCAAAGAGGCAGCTTGACAGATCCAGGAACTACGAATTACAAGTTTGTTTATAGAAAGCTTTTCCTTTACTGCATAAAAGTTTAAACAATTCCGATTAATAAACTTGGTAGTTCTTGTATCTAGTCCACATCAACTTGTTAGCTTATGTTAATGTGTGCAATAAATAAAAGCCAACTCATTAACATTGAGCCAAAAGAGTTGTTCACCCGTCATCTCCCAAGAAACTTTTCAGTCATAAAGATGGCCTCTATGTGGCTGTAGATAAAAAGCCACCATCCCATAGAGACATTTGTGGCCGCGGTAAGGACACATACAGTAGTATGCGGTCCTAAACTTAACCTCACCTCATGGGAGGGAGGTGGATTTTGTCACTGGGAATGACTCGAAAGGTTCTTCTGACTCCAAGTCCACTGTTCTGCCCACTTTTACTGGCTGCGTGTCTTTATTCATAACCCTGGAACGAGTCAGGGCCAAGGAGGGAATGCAATTTCAAAGTCCTTCAGAGACCGTGAGCACACACCCACTCTACAAAGGTAGGAATTCCTTCAACAAACTTCCTTTTGGCCTAAGCCCTGGGACTCTAAGGACATCGAGAAAAAGAACAGAAAACACCATAGCGACTTAATAACCCTAAAACCAGCAACTTGGTATTGAATGGATGAAGCAATACACACATCCCAGATGCGTATTCTCCGCCACGCCTAACTTAACGGGCGGGGAGCTGAGCGTCTACCCAGGGCGGCCTGGTGCAGGAGAGGCCTCTGCTCAGACCAGCCTAGCGCCCCGCGCGGGCCCTGCCAGGCACTCGCGGAGGCCGGCCCGCGGGGGAGCCACCGCGCACGGAGAAGCCCGAGAGCGCCCACAGCCTGTCTAACCCGTGCTAACCCGCGAGCTCCGGGCCAACCCTACCGCTGCGGGCCCGGTGGCGGCGGCGCGCGCAGACGCTCCTTTCCCCCGGCCCCTGGGCGTGGCATCGGGAGCGCGCGCGGGCCTGGAGCCAATAGGCAGGGTCTGACCCCGTGACGTCACAAAACTGGCGGGGAGCGCGCCTTCTTCCGCCCCCGCCCCTCCGGCCCGGGCCTCGTTCGCCGGGTCCCGCCCAATCGGCACGGCGCAGCCAATCGGAAGGCGGGAAGCGCACGAGCCGACGCGGGGGCGGGGCCGGGTGGCGGCCGGGCGAGGCCGGGGCGCGGAGTGGGCCGGACTGGGTTGAGCCGCCGCGCGCCGGTGAGCTCGGCGGTGCGGAGGGAAGGGAGCGCGCGGAGGGGTGCGGCCGCCAGCCGAGGCCGACCGCGGCGGGTGCTCTCCTGGACCCGGTTCGTATCCTCGTCCCCCGCCGCCGCGTCGGGAGGGGGCGGTCGAGGCGGCGAAGGGGAGGGCGCGCGTGGGCAGCGACCACGGGTGGAGGGCCTCGGTCGGGAGGAGTAGCCGCGGGCCCCGGGCGGTACCGGGCTGGCTGTCAGCGCGTGGCACGTCCGCCTCGGCTCGCCGCTGTCACGCTCGGCCCCGCGTGGCCACGCCGGTCTGCGAGGTCTGCGGAAGCGGGCGCCGCGCGGCGCCGGCCGGGCCCGAAGATGCTGCGCGCCCGTGGGCTCAGCGCGCTGGCTGCACGGAGCGGCCGCGCGGCGCCCGTCTGGGCTCCCGCAGTCCCCGGCCTGGGGCCGGGTGACCGCCTGGCCGGCTGGGTGGGTTTGTTTGGTTTCTTCTTCTCCCCTCCCCTTTCTCCCCCCTCCGTTCTCTCCTCCCTCCCTGCCCATTCACTGGGCTGCGGCGAGACCTCGCCCCTCCTCCGCTCCCGCCTCCCCGCCACCGCCTCCTCTAATGAGCATCTCTGCCTTGCTTTCAATGGGCCGCTGCTGCTGTCGCTGCTGCTGTCCGCGCGGTTTGTGGATGTTGTCGGCTCCGTGTTGTGATGACAGGAGAATGTGTGTGTGTCCCGGGCCCAGACGGATTGGTAGGTATTCACGTAACTACCTGTGTTGGGGACCCAGGAAGGATGGTGACTGATTTTGTGTATGAATGGATGGCTCTAGGGGTCCGCATGGAATTAAGGGGGGGGGGGGGCGCGATAGGAAAAGGGAGACAAAGGCTCTCTGGACCAGAAGAATTTCTTTGATATCTTAGTAAGTGCGATTTTCGGGTAGGGACAGACGAAACTGATCAAACAAGTGCTGGTTTGGTGCCTGGTGTCTTAAGGATAAGGGTTTGTTTTTTTGTTTTTTTTTTTTGTTTTGTTTTTTTCATTGCTATAGATACCGACATGGGAAATGGCTAGGCATTTCCAGAAAATGCTGAAAAATCCCAAGTCTTTGTGCAGGGTGTTTAATGCAATTAGATTACATAAACGGAGGTTATGATACGTGTAATGGCTAGTGTAGTATTTATTTCCATTTGCATCAGAAGCTTTGCAAGGCCGAGAAGCTCTGGAGTAGGTGCACCAGTAGCATTTTTTAAATTGATTTGGCCAGTGGGTTTATTGACGAAGTGGAATAATTTCTTGGCGCAGGCTTTGCCGAGCACATCAGAAAGAATGGACGGAGCGCCTTCTGTTTCTGGTTACAGCGCATCTTTTTATTAGTCATTGCCAGTAGCAGCCAAATCTGCCTAGGACTGAGCGGCTGCACACAGGATTGCCAAGTGTGGGCCACGATGGTATATGAACTTTAAAAAACCCCGCAAGACTGTAGGATTATTCTAGATTACCAATAACCATATCCTGATATTTTAATTGCCTAATGAAGAGGCTTCTGTTTTAAGCTAGCGAGTTTATCAGGATTTCAGAGGTTTTCTTTTGAATCGCAGGAAGCGTAGAAGGATATTAAGAATCTTTCCAGGCATTTAGTAGTGTATGGACTTGTACCGTTTCTGGTCTGATGAAAATACTATATAATTAGTACTGTACTGACCTGATGGAGTGATTATTAAATACAGCGCAAACTTTCATGATTCAACTTCCTGAAGAATTTGCCTTTCTTTTGAAAGCTTGTTAGGAGCCAAAGAATTGAATGCAATCCGTATGCTAAGCTGTGATTAACTGTGAAGATACAAATGAAAATAAGTCACTCTCTGCTGTTTTGACTTTTAACCTCAAATACTTTTGCTGTGAAGGAAACAACATAAAGAGCTTGAGTTTGAATATTCAGAGCACCTGCTGCATGGATTATGAGCTTTTTTACCCCCAGATTTCATTCATTTCTACTGACAGAAACTGTCAGAACACGGGAATTTAAGGGGGATCCCCTGAGCAGATGCTACTTAAGCTGATAGGTCTTTGTCCCTCCCACACTCACCTTGTCTTAAAGCAATACAAGCTTAGATTCTGAAGAAAATTTACCTCCATATAAGTTGAACCCTTGTTTTAATTTTTAATGATAGTATTTGCATCATAAACTAAAGAAGAGATACGGTTTATAAGCACAAGGCGCTGTGGCGTGGAACCACACTGCACACATATCCTGGCTGAGTTCAGAACCCTTCACCTTTGGATGACTTTCGGGTGCCCAGTTTGAGTTGTTGTCTAGATGGTTCGTTCAGTAAGTCCTTGTTAGAGATTCCTGTGCTCAGTTCAGAAGGCTTACCTTTGGAATCTAACCCAAAAGTCTAGTCCTCCACTGTGCACTTCTGTCTTTGTATTTAGAAGCAAGCCTCTTCTTGAAAGTCAGCACATTACTGTTTACAAGACATCTGTCCAGCTGTGTGCTCAGTACAGTCTACAGAAGCAGATGCAAACCTGAGTGGTTTTCTCTCTTCCCTCATTTTCACATTTTACTTCCTTAGTGCCCACCGAAAAGTACATGCAAATTGCTTAACACTGTGATTCTTCACATTTTTTTGTATATTTTGCTTTTGGAAGCAGTAGGGGATACTAAGATTGTTTAATTTTTTAAATGTATTTAAAGCAGCTCTAAAGTCTATTTCTTGTACTCTAAGTGACTGCTTGAGACAATATCTTAGGAATTCAGAGAAAATACATTACTGAAGATTTTTTTCTTGGATACATTATTTGAAATAGTGGTATATGTGTTCACTTAAGCCTTCTAGATAAATTCCTACTATAAAATAATGTCTTCAGAATATTCATAATGCTATACTGTTATAATCCAAACCTTGGGCTTAATTTATGGTTCTTTGCTGCTTCCCCATGACAAGTAGATACCTGTTTTTAGCTGAAAGAGAAACTGTTCCCCAGGAGTCAACAGGAATCTCTAGTAGATGAAATAGTAGCTCTGTAGCTTGCTTCTATGACTGCTAAGCAAGGAACGATGGTGGCAGGTTAATTAAATTCTGAAATGGCATCACACTATACCAAAACCAGGTTTAGAGCAAAGAATACTGGGATTATTTTTTATCATGAGTAGCACAGCAAAATTCAGCAATGAATCAAAAAAGACTACATTTGATTTCAAAGCCTCAATACATTAAACATAAAAGCATGAATCTTGAAGAGTTTAGAGTGTCTACTTCCATGTGTTCATCTAAAGTTCAGTGGGGAGAGCCCCAGAGAGGTGCAGTGCCGTGGCCAGGGTCAGTTGGTGAAGAACAGACTCTAGCTCGCTAAGCTGGCTTAGTGGTGTAGAGAAGGAGCTTTGCAGAACCCTAAATTCCTGTTTTATTATGTCGAAAATGTTTCCTTTAAGGTAAAATGAACATTGTTTCAATACAGTGGTATATGTGTGTTATTTACCAATAATGTACAAACATGCACTTGTTAAGGATATATTAACACTTTTAGTGATAGCCACCCGCGTGTTGTCAAATGCCAACACACTGACTACAGGTTAAGGAACAGGTCTTCATAGATGTAGAAATGACTGTGCACAGCGATGGAGAAGGGTGGTTGGGCAGGTAGGCTGCTGCGGCACAGTGTTACATAACTTCCTGCTCGGCTCTCTCCAGGCAGATACATGCGTATGCCGAGCAGTGTGTACTGCACAAAGAAATACAAAGGGAAGAGAAATTATAGTTCAGACGTGGCTTCATGAGTGGCTGAGAATTGTAATTACCGTGAAACACCTTGTAGAGATTACCTAGCATACGGATTTTCATGTACATTCCCTTAGTATTTTCTATACGGCAGAGCGTGTTGGATAATCTGGAGTGTAACTTTCCTGTGTATGTGTCCTAATTGCTCTCTAGGAATCCCAGTCAGAACATCCACCCTGCCACTGTTCTCCGATGCCATGCCAGCACCAACTCAACTGTTCTTCCCTCTCCTCCGTAACTGTGAGCTGAGCAGAATCTACGGCACTGCGTGTTACTGCCACCATAAGCATCTCTGCTGTTCCCCACCGTGCGTTCCTCAGAATCGCCTGAGGTACACGCCCCATCCAGCATATGCTACCTTCTGTAGGCCGAGAGAGAGCTGGTGGCAGTACACTCAAGGAAGGAGATACGCCTCAACACCTCAGAAATTTTACCTCACACCTCCACAAGTCAACAGCATCCTGAAAGCCAATGAATACAGTTTCAAAGTTCCAGAATTTGATGGCAAAAATGTCAGTTCCGTTCTTGGATTTGACAGCAATCAGCTGCCTGCAAATGCACCCATTGAAGACCGGAGAAGTGCAGCCACCTGCTTGCAGACCAGAGGGATGCTTTTGGGAGTCTTTGATGGTCATGCGGGCTGTGCTTGTTCCCAGGCAGTCAGTGAAAGACTCTTCTATTACATCGCTGTTTCCTTGTTACCCCACGAGACTTTGCTGGAGATTGAAAATGCAGTGGAGAGTGGCCGGGCCCTGCTGCCCATCCTCCAGTGGCATAAGCACCCCAATGACTACTTCAGCAAGGAGGCGTCCAAACTGTATTTCAACAGCTTGAGGACTTACTGGCAAGAGCTTATAGACCTCAACACTGGAGACTCGGCTGATATCGATGTTAAAGAGGCTTTAATTAATGCTTTCAAGAGACTTGATAATGATATCTCATTGGAGGCTCAAGTTGGTGATCCTAATTCTTTCCTCAATTACCTGGTGCTTCGGGTGGCATTTTCTGGGGCTACTGCTTGTGTGGCCCATGTAGATGGTGTTGACCTCCACGTGGCTAACACTGGAGACAGTAGAGCCATGCTTGGTGTGCAGGAGGAAGATGGCTCGTGGTCTGCGGTCACGCTGTCCAATGACCACAATGCCCAGAATGAAAGAGAGTTAGAGCGCCTGAAGCTGGAGCACCCGAAGAACGAGGCCAAGAGCGTGGTGAAGCAGGACCGCCTGCTTGGCCTGCTGATGCCTTTCAGGGCTTTTGGAGACGTGAAGTTCAAGTGGAGCATTGACCTTCAGAAGAGAGTGATAGAGTCTGGCCCAGACCAGCTGAATGACAATGAGTATACCAAGTTTATCCCTCCCAACTATCATACACCTCCTTATCTCACCGCTGAGCCAGAGGTCACTTACCACCGCTTAAGGCCGCAGGATAAATTCCTGGTGTTGGCAACCGATGGGCTGTGGGAGACCATGCATAGACAGGATGTGGTTAGGATTGTGGGCGAGTACTTAACTGGAATGCATCACCAACAGCCAATAGCTGTTGGGGGGTACAAGGTGACTCTGGGACAGATGCATGGCCTGCTAACCGAAAGGAGAGCAAAAATGTCATCGGTCTTCGAGGATCAGAATGCAGCAACCCATCTCATTCGCCATGCCGTGGGCAACAATGAGTTTGGAGCCGTCGACCATGAGCGACTCTCTAAGATGCTTAGTCTTCCAGAGGAACTTGCTCGGATGTATAGAGATGACATCACAATCATTGTAGTTCAGTTCAATTCTCACGTCGTCGGAGCGTATCAGAACCAGGAGCACTGAGTCCTGGTACCCTGTAGTTCTCCAGTGCGGAGGGCAGACAGACTTGGGAAAGAACCAATAAGCTATTCCAGCCAGCCATCCTGACACTTCACCCCTGCTTCTCTGTAGCTAGTCCAGTGCTCCAGCCTGACCGCAGCACATAGCATCACGAGTGTCTCTCCTGCCCTGTTGGCCCTCAGGCTATGAAGAATGGCAGATAATACCTTGAGTAGATCAAAAGCAAGGATCTTTCTGGGAGTATATTAGTAAAGGCAAAAAATGCCGTCCCTATCTGCAAACTAAGCATCATAAAGATTCTAATGTACATGAGAGTATTTACTACATGATTTAAAAAAAATAGTCCATGTATTATCACATTTATTTTAGCCTGAAGTATTTTTCAGGTCCAGTACTTTAAGCCATAAATGACCATGAACCTGAAATCTGAGTTTGTAAGCTTTTGTGATTGTGCATAGAATAGGTTTCCCAATGGAAAGAGCTCTCAACCACCCTTCTTTCCTGACCCATGGTATCCTCGGTGTAACTGGGATACTTTGTTTTGCTACACAGAAAAGACAATAAAGGTTCTTAGTTTTATTTATCCTTCTAGTGAATGTTAACTAAAGGGAAAATGTGTTTTTTCAGTTTGTATTCATGAAAAGCTTTATTTAGTCTGTAATAAAGATACCCAGAATGAAAAGAGACTGTATGTTTAATTCTTGTCACCTGTGGCTCCCAGCATTTCCCTGTTCTGAGTCCCTGAAGTCTTGGCAAACTGTGTGTAGTGGGTGAGCAAACTGCTGCTGAGAAATCATCTTCATTTGTGATAGGAGTTCTCATGGAACAAGTTTAGATAGCAGCTTGAGTAGTAAGATTTTAATATTGTATTATGACAGTTTGAGGAATTTTTTTGTTTGTCCCCACTTAGGTCAATTAAAATAATTTGGATTAAAATTATTAAGTGCTTTAAATATACTGTAGGTTGTAATATATGTGTTAAGATGTATACATAAGACACTTTTTTAGTGGCCTGTGCATGCCTGATACAGAGCACTGTCTCATCCAGTATTTGCAGCAGTCTCCATAATTATATGCGGTCCTTTCTAATACTGTATCAAAGTAAATGAGAAATATATTCAAGTAGGCTTTTTAGGAGTTTAATATGCATCAAATGATACTTTTGTTCCTGCATTTAATGGTGATCTGTGTACAGCTGTGCATATCTTTTTATCACTTATTCACCTAAAAATAGCTATGACTTCGTTTAAATTTCACATAGATTTTTAATTCAAAACATTAGTGCCTGTTGTATTAGTTGGGAATATAGGAGTCCTTTCAGAATTGTGTAGGCTTTGAAGTACATGTTCAAGGACTCCATATTGTGATTCTTAAATCAATGTATAGCAATATTGGCTGCAAAATTTGTTCCAAATGAAAGTAGACCCAGGAAGATTACAGCTCAGAACATCTTAGGATTTGTTTTCTGAAGTACTTTTTGATTTTGTTTTTTAAAGTCAACTTTTTAAATGCCACTTTATTTTGGAGGGAGAAAGACTATTACATATTCTAAGTGTTTTTAGAGACATTATCTTAAGATGAAAAATACACACTATGAAACCCCGTTTTTAGTACGGTTTGGAATTGGTTTTTAATACCACCACTGGAGAGGTTTATGTTAATGTCTCAGTATAATACAGTGAATATAAATACTGCTTTCTGTGCCCTCTGAAATAAAAGCAAGCCTTATTACCCAAGAAGTGTCTGCAGTCTGAAAGCCAGCCTACCTGTATAAAAATGAAAACTCAGTGTGGAAATGAAGATAAGGGGGTATTCAAAAACCTTTGGATGCTGTTATCTAAACACAGTTGTGACTTTGTAACTCATTGTGACATGATGTCTAGAAGTAAAGTCAGTTTGTGTAAATTTTCATGGATTTATTTATATTTTCTTCTATGTATTCAGTTTCTGTATTGATATTTAGTCAGTGCTTCATGGTCCATGTAACATGCCCTGAACTAGATAAAAGGAACATGGCTTGAATGCTGTCCTTGGTTAGAGAAATGCCCACAGCGAATTAAAGCTTGACATCCGCTTCTGAGAGGCCTTCGTGGGTTTTTAATAATAGTACCTAGCATTCGCTGTATGCTTTCTGTGGGCAGTAGGTGTATTCAACTTGAGGAGCCAATAAATAGCATTTTAATAATTTAAGTCCAGTTATAATTTATAGTCAATAAAATTAAAAGGCTTTACATTTATTATGTGAGATTTGGGGGTCAATATCCACTAAAAAGAATGTTCCCATTGTACCAGAAAGTGACTTCGTGCTCCATTCTGGTTAACCCTTTCACAAGAACTTCTACCCTATATAAACAGAACAGTGGTACATTCTTAGAACTTCCTGTAGATGAAGTTGTATACTCTTTAGCTTTTTTTAAAATATTATTTTGTGTTTACTGTTCTTTATTTGATGAGTAGCCATCGCATTGTAAGGATAGACTGCTTAATTGTTGAAGTCCTTCTGAAACTTTGTCATTTTCTATTGGCATTTTTAGTCCGCACTCCTAAGCTGGTTTTTAGATGGACGGTTTCTTAGAAATAATACCGTTTGGTTACGGTTCAGCTTCACCTTTACAAATGCAAATGCAGGTGAGTTTGATAGACCTTCATAACCTTAATGGGGAGGAGTCTGTTTTAATCCCCTAGCCCTGAAGCAAAAGATGTGAAATTGTCATGGAGAGAAGTTTGGAGAATAGTCTCTGCATTGAGCAGACTTTTCACAGGACAGCTCTGCATTTATTGCGGTATGTGGGGATGTTAGGTAGCTGCCCTGTCACTGAGCCACACCTCCAGCCCCCTTCTCCTCACTATCTCATTTATACACACATACTACAGTTTGATTGGCACAGGGTCTTCCTAAGTGGTCAAGACAGGCTTTGAACTTTCTAGTCTGCCTTAGCCTTCCAAGTAGCTAGAGTAACAAGCCTGAATCGTCAGGCCCAGGTCTGCTTTAGTAAAGGTTAGTGCTATTTGGATGGAGCGTCCCTTTTTACTAGGCAAACAAATTTCTGAATTGGGTTTGGTGTTGATTTTGTCCTTGATCATAGTAATAAGGTCTCAGAAGGTACGTTTCTAAGCTGAATGCTTACGACTTAACACATAAATAACATTTGCTGTCCCGGAATTCTTCAGATTTACAAGTTGAATCTTGTTGAATTGGTGTGGTGCCATGGCCACTTCCAAGAAGAGCTAAGTGACTGAAGACAGTGGCCTTGGAATTGACATTGTGGTATGAAGGTAATTTCTTTTGTGTGCAGAATTAATTTACTTTGAAAGCCAAACTGAATCCCATTAAACCTTACCAGTCCAGTTCTTAATACAGTTTACCTTGGGTGAAATTTCAGTAATACATAACATTTCTAAAGAAGACTCATATTACAAATCCTCCAACTAAATATATCAAGAATGATGTTCATGTAATTGAAGTCTATGTACTAACCACTAATGGTCATACAGTGTGCACACGCATTTTAATAACCACATGATGGAGGTGGAATTTTTTAGCCAATATATAGGTTTATAACTTTTGCACCTAATTGTTGCAATACTTTTGGAACTCTGTCCATAGACTCAGTTCTTCCAGGGCAGCATACATGGCTTATGTTTCTTCTCTGAGCACAATGTTGAATAAAATTTGTTTTACATTAGAAATTGTACAACCAGAAAGCCTATGCATACTTCTCATGGAGGGAAACAAGAATATATCTTTAGATAAAGTAGAAGACACTGCCATCAGATGCAGGAGAGTTCGTGTATTCTTGTAACAGCCATTTCATTTTGCAGTTAACAGCCAATATTTCTGAAATCGTGAGCAAAGACTTGCTGTGAAGAACTACTGTTTAAAGAGAACTTGAAGTGCCAGTGTACAAATTACCCCTCTGCAGCCCCCACCCTTCCTCCTTTTCCAGAGGGATGACTTCCTAAACTGGGGAGAGACCCAAAGGATTCAGTTAAATGAGTTGAGCCCAAAGCATCAATTTGAACACACCCCTCTCTCCAGTAAAACTACCAGGGTTCACACCCAGCCCTGGACCCTCAGAAGTGCCCTGCTGTATCCCATGTGAGATGTGCAGGTTTGTCACCCCCTCAGTAACCACCGCTGCTCCTGGGAAGTGTTCGACATAGATCTCAAAGGGTTTTGCCACCACAATTTATTATACTGCTACGTAAAGGCTGAGTCCTGAGCTTTCTCTTTAAACTTTACCCATGTCACTGACTTTATCTGCAGCTCTTAGCCCACCAAACGCTGTCTTATTCACAACTGTGCTGGGAAGTTAATCTAGTCTGCCCTGAGAAGCCTCAAACCCTAAGCACTCACAACAAACCAGGTGCCAACAAGTCAAAGAGCCAAAGATTTTCATGTCTTTTGCAGTGATTCATCAAGTTGTCTTCTTGGAGAACAGGAACTGATTGGCAGCCTTGTGGCAAGAATGCTTGAGGAATGGGAACATGACAAGAGAGTTGAAGAGGAGGAGAGAGAATTGTTGACTTCGTGACTGGAGACTGAACTCAGGGCGGGAAGTGCTAGTTCCTTCGATATCTTGGACCAGTGCACAGCATTGCAGAAGAAAGATAGAAGGTGTCCAACAGTGAGGAGGGAGGGAGTCTAAAGCACGTTTTTAAGCCCTCGTTAGAGACATCTATGCTTTATGCTGAAGCATCAGCAGCTGAACAGTTGTCAGCATGGCCATTCTGCCTTGGTCTGTTAGATAAGAAGGAAAAGGGAGGCTTCTGAAGCTGGCCATACGGAAGTGAGTTGAGTGCCCAAATAGACAGGTCCCCCCCCCCAAAAAAAAAAAACTTGGCTCAGAATTTTTTTTTTCTCACTGCACACATGGGAGTAGGTTAGACAGCCTAATTTAGCTTGAGAAGAACAGAGACAGGATAATTAAGGCCTTGATGTGAGGAAAAACAACTGCAAGACTGAGCAGCCCAGAGAATGCAGGCCACGCTGTCTGCGGTCATGTCTGGGTGTCTGCTGATCAAGGGGGTAAGATAGCATCAGAACAAGAAGTGCATTGATCTGGCAGTTGTTATAGTAACCACAGCTGCTTCTTGAGCACTTGCTATATGGCATGCCCTCAGAGAAGTGTGCTGATGATGTGGTTTTATTTAATCCTAGTCCAGTTAGTCTGTGGCCTGGTCTCTTCCAGAGATCGAGCTCTGCAAACCACACCCTCAGGTGTCACTTGTGTCCTGGTACCATTTATCAACAGACAGCACCAGGAGCCAGTCAGAGAGTGGGATGTTGAGATCCTTCTTCCTTTTCCCCAGGGGCTGTAGCCCTAGCCTTAGCTAGATCCCTGATCTCGGATTCCAGGTCTCACTAGGATCAAGAAATACTCTCTCCTCCTTTTGGCATGGAATTCCCCATCCAGTTAGTGTCTGCATGCCCACCAACCTTTGTTCCCTCATTGCTCAAACTCTGTAAATAACCCATTGAACCATTTAGGGTAAGTTGGCACACCTAAACAGTACTATGTTCCCTGCAAGCACACAGACTAGGTAACTCAGTGAGCATCATGCACCACACAGACTTCTGTGTTTCAAAGCCTGCGTGTTTCATCACCACACCACCATGCCTTTCCCGGCAACCAGAGTGGTTCCCTCCATATCAGAAAGGTGCAAAGAGCGTCTGGTAAGCACG